GTGAGCATCTGTGTTGGTGGTGGTGGTGGTGGAGGAGGAGGAGGTGGTGGTTCATGTCATCAAAGCCAAGGCCCCATCTGTATTGGTGGCGGAAGCAGTGGTGGCGGTGGTGGAGGTGGTTCGGGCCACCAAGGCCAAGTCCCCATCTGCATTGGTGGTGGTGGTGGTGGAGGAGGCGGTGGTGGTTCGTGTCATCAAAGCCAAGGCCCCATCTGTATTGGTGGCGGAAGCAGTGGTGGCGGTGGTGGAGGTGGTTCGGGCCACCAAGGCCAAGTCCCCATCTGCATTGGTGGTGGTGGTGGTGGAGGAGGCGGTGGTGGTTCGTGTCATCAAAGCCAAGGCCCCATCTGTATTGGTGGCGGAAGCAGTGGTGGTGGTGGTGGAGGTGGTTCAGGCCACCAGGGCCAAGGCCCCATCTGCATTGGAGGTGGCAGCATAGGAGGAGGAGGAGGAGGAGGTGGTTCAGGCCACCAGGGCCAAGGTCCCATCTGCATTGGAGGTGGCAGCATAGGAGGAGGAGGGGGAGGTGGTGGTGGTTCAGGCCACCAGGGTCAAGGATCCATCTGCATCATTGGGGGAGGTGGCTCAGGCCACCAGAGCCAGGGATCGTCCTCTTATGGAGGAGGTGGTGGTGGAGGAGGTTCGTCCAGTTCTGGAGGTCTGTCCATTCAACAGCAGACCCAGCCAATCTCCTGGCCACCACAGACTAAACACAAGTAGTGTCTGCAGAAGGGACTCTCAGATCAAGAAAGCCCAAGATACAAAAATGCCTCACGTTTCTTTCTCTATTAAATTTAAGAATATTTGCATTATTCCTTTCTCCTCTTCCTTGGGATTTTTCTGTTCAGCTCTCCAGCTGACCAGAACCTCTGGTGTTGCGTATCAGTAACTTCCAGCCAGCGTTGTTTCATATGTCTGTTACTTGCCTCAACTTTCTAGTGCTTGCACAAGACAATAAAACTTGCAGTTCTAGAGAGCTTCAGTGTCTGAGTGGTTGGATTTTGCTTTATACCATGACGTTTGCATTATTTTCGTTATTATGTTTTTATTCTGAGCTGATGCTGTTGTAATAAAGCTCCAGAGCACAAGTGCATTGAAAACCCACCTGTAGAAGAGATGCTGGATTCACTAAATATTCTTAGTTCATCTTTTAATGTCTGCCGCTACTCGTGATCCTGACGTTTGCCCATCAGATAGGGTACCACAAAGTTAAACATTGCAGTCTCTCTCTACCTCATCAAAATGTCATGCAATGCCCAAGGAAGTTTTAAATGAGTTAGGAGAGGAAAGATGCAAAAACTCTAGTACAAAGGATTACAAGGTACTATTACAGGCGTGAAGCTGAGGCCCTTGTACGTGCATGGTGCAGGAGCTTTTGGTGCTCATAGCTGCACCAAGCAGCTGCGGAAGAGAAATGAAGGGTCTCTCCAACCCTTACTCCAGCGCTGAACCCCTAGTGGAGCCAGCGGCAGGGACAGGACGTCAGAAAGCCCCTTCCAAAGGCTGAGATGGAACTCAGCCTGGAGTAACTAGGGATCTCCTCATTCCCACAGGAATAAAACACAGCTCCGGGTATGAGTCTTCAGAGAGAGTTTCCCTATGGGAAGTGATTTCTTTGATGTGGTATATTCTGGCAATTAGCAGGGAAAGGAAAATAAACCTTCTCTGCCTGAACTATTCTATGTGAGGCAGATGACAGATGCCTGGAAGTGTCCCAGAAGAGACAGGAGTGACCCATACTTATAGCGGGTAAAAGAGCTTCAAGTTTATGTGTCCCTCTACCTTCTGTCCTCTCCCCCTTGGGGACCCCAGGGATGCAAGCATTCTTAGAACATGTCCGGATGAGCTCCTCCAGCCAGTGCTGCCACTGGAACAGCAGAGTTGCCTGGGATTTTATTATGGAAAGTCATAAGGTACTAAAATACCAGTGACTGGGAACTACACGAACACTGCCGTTGCCTGCACGGTGCTAACAGAAAGCTTGGGGTCCCACTTCAAGGAGGTGGGAGCATTGCAGTTGAATGTCCCTGCACTCAGAAATGGCCGAGGACCAAGAAAGCAGAGGCTCTCAGGGTGACAGCAGGATCGTAGGGCATCCTCATCTCTTATTGCTTCTTCAGAAACAACAGAGCCATGTCCCAAACTGGGATGAATTCATTCTTTTGGTTAATATCCATCAAGATGCTGATACACAGGGTGGATGTTGGATCTGGTACCCTCTGCCTACAGCACTTCAACTCCTCCCGCCCAGAGGCAGTGTAAAGCCTGCCTGACCTCTGTACTGTCCATAGTGGTGCACTCAAACAAAAATCATGATCAACACTTCACTGGTGTAGTGGGGAAGTCCAGGCATGTGAGATTCCTTTGCTGCCCCAGCAACAGCAGTCCTACCCAGTGGAGCCCGCTCCATTCCCCTGGGCATCTCCATAGTCTGTAACACACAATAAACACAAGTCTCCACAGCCCCTTCTGCTGTCAGTCACCACCCCCGCAGCATCTCCCAGCTCGAGTGGAGGGTGCTAGCTAGAGTCCCACAATCCTACCTTGAAAGTCAACCATGGCAGCTGAGCTCACATGTGATACCCGCAGCCAAACTGCAGGTAGCCTAGGAAGTGATGCACTAGAGAGGCATTGATCTGATTCGATGAGTCAGGACCAGTGGGCTGAAGGAGGACAGTTTGTTTAGTAAATAAACCTATCACCATTCCTTTGGATGCCTCACTTCCCACTCAGGAAAACTAGGAACAGTATAAAAGTTGCTGGATCTCACAGTGCTTCATTCGCTCAGCTTTGCTCTGTTGTACGCGTTGTCAGAGCCAAGAAGGGTAAGTCCATTTCTGCCAAAGGGAGCAATTCTTCTCTTACTTTCATGCTTGCAAAACATAAATGCACGGGTAAAGTACACCCGATGGGTGGTGGCTTGAAGGGCGGGAAGGTTGCTTTGATGAATTTAAATTTCCTGTGGATGTCAGAAGAAGCAGGATCATGCCGTGCTACTGAAAGTCATGTCTTTCATCAGTATAGAGATCGAGATGGAACAGCTATGGGATAAAAGACTTCAAATGATGCGTTGATTAACTTCAGCAATCTGGTAATCTCCTGTTAGCAAAAGGCTCTATCTGTGACTGGGATCCATGGAGAACAAAGTGCTTAGAAGAAAGGAAGTTCATTGGTTCTGGAGACTGTCTGCCAATGTTGTGGGGCTGTACATGGGTCCTTCTGGCTGGGGGAAATTCTCGTGACGGCAGTGCCTGCTCGTGAGTAAAAATCACTGTTTCTTGCAGGTTCCCTGCTCAAAGATGTGCTCCAGACAGACCTCCGGAGGCTGCCATGAAACATCCTCGCAGTCCAGCGGATGCCACAGCGGGGGCTCCTGCTGCCACGGGGGCAGCTCCTCCAGCTACCAGGCACAGGGCTCCTCCTGCTGTGGCGGCTCAGGCTCGGGCAGCTATGGCGGGGGCAGCGGGGGCTCTGGCAAGATCATTGTCAGCTCTGGCGGAGGAGGAGGAGGCTCATCAGGCTGCTGCAGTGGGGGCTCCTCAGGCTACGGCATGGGAGGAGGGTACAGCGGTGGCAGTGGGGGATCAGGCCAGAAGATCATTATTAGCTCAGGCGGAGGAGGAGGCGGCTCATCAGGCTGCTGCAGTGGGGGATCCGGTGGTGGATCTTCAGGAGGCAAGATCATAATTGGAGGTGGAGGTAGTGGGGGATCCTCTGGATGCTGCAGTGGAGGATCCAGTGGTGGGTATTCCGGATCAAAGAGCATAATTGGAGGTGGAGGTAGTGGGGGATCCTCCGGGTGCTGCAGTGGGGGATCCAGTGGTGGGTCTTCAGGAGGCAAGATCATAATTGTGGGTGGAGGCAGTGGGGGATCCTCTGGATGCTGCAGTGGGGGATCCGGTGGTGGGTCTTCAGGAGCAAAGATCATAATTGGAGGTGGAAGCAGTGGAGGGTCATCCGGATGCTGCTCTGGGAGCTCCTCAGGCTACGGCATGGGAGGAGGGTACAGCAGTGGCAGTGGGGGATCGGGTCAGAAGATCATTGTGAGCTCAGGTGGTGGGGGAGGTGGCTCATCTGGATGCTGCAGTGGGGGATCCAGTGGTGGGTCTTCAGGAGGCAAGATCATAATTGGAGGTGGAGGTAGTGGGGAATCCTCTGGATGCTGCAGTGGGGGATCCACTGGTGGCAGTGGCGGTTCCTCGGGCCACACAATCATCATCAGCTCTGGAGGCGGCAGCGGAGGGTCCTGCCAGTCCACGCAGCAGAAATGCCCTATTGTCATTCCCAACGTCGGGTGCCATCAGACCAAGCAGGCCTGCCACTGGCCCCCCAGCCACCAGAAGTAACAGCCACAGGCAGCCCCGCTTCTCAGCAAGAACAGCCCTGCCTCTGTCTTCCAAGTTTGCTTGTTTCCTCCCAGCATGTGCTCTTCCCTTCTCTTCCCTTGATGCTGCATCCCTGTGCTGTGAACTCCCAGATGGCTCTTCTCACCCATCTATGTGAAGGGAAATAAAAATTACTCTGTACAGAAAGAGCTGGTTTTGCAAGGTTGCTTTCATCCTTTGTCAGTCCCGTTTACTTTCAAAACGTGAATAATACGTCAAATACATTCAGCTGTGAAATCTTCTTCAGCCTGCAGTGCCAGAGCAGACGGGTGTTAACACATCTTGCTTGAGAGACCTTGTTGCTTAAGCAGATGATCTGTGTCCCTCTTCCAAATAATGTCCACCGAGGCTGCAACTTCAGCCTGGGGAACAGCTCCACCTTGGTTTCCCCTTCCCAGAGAAGGAAGCAGACCACAAGCTCTGGATTTCACTGCAGGGATTTTCAGTGCAGACAGCAGCATCCTTTGGAAATACAGTCAGGTTTTTAGGTATTCCATTTCTCTAGATTTATCACAAGAAAACAATTAATTTTGGTAGGCAACATTCAGCAGCATTTGTGCTGAAGTCCACAGCAAGTCCTTCGGAACACGGTGTGGTTACAGTCTTGCATTCAGTAGATTTTAAAGCTAGAAGGATTTTTTGTCCCTCTCACATACACAGCTGGTAGGCAGGAGACAGAATTAGGAGTAAAAGGGATCATCGGCCATGCAAACGCTTGAGGCGTCATGACTGACTGGATTCTGCCTTTTGCAGAAAAATTGGAGAGTTCCTCTTACACCAGTAGTATCTTCATCGTGTCCTACGCTGTCAACGTTAGCATTGCTGTGCATGAAGGAAGCTGCTGGGAAAAAGGATTGTAGGATCTGGCCAAGATTTTTCTCTCTCTCTCTCATAAGAGTGCACACCAAGGCACCATCCATTGAGGTCTTTGCAGTGATGAGACTGAAAGATAATGTGACGTGCCAGCCCATCCTGAGGGGGGCCTCAGACAGACCATCAAAAAACAGGCAGCATGGCCCAAATGGGGGGCAGCTGCCGCCATGAAGTCTTTT